CGGAACCGTTGAGCCGCTACGGTACCGTACGCCAAGGCCGCCACAGTGACCGTGAATAGACTTTATTTCAGATCAAACGGTCTCAAAGATGATTATCATCAATAAGCTACACCATCTCCTAAACATGTACTTGATTGATATGATACTGTGCCACTCTGTGCATCGCATCCGGGCATCATTCTTACAAAGCAATAAGATATTTTGCATAGTTCTCAGGTATTCTTGCTCATTGTTCAGTTCATATACGCCGTAGAAAGAAACAAAACCAAAACCTGTTGATAGCGCAACCTTCCTTCATGTTTCCAAGGAAAAATGAGCTGCAGCTATTGGAAACAGAAAGGTAGAGCTTTTATAACTCAATATCAAAGCGGATACCATCTCAAACACAAGACATAATCAATGAATCCACCTTGAAGAATCCTCTGCCACCCTGCGTCGATTTTGTACTACTGTAAGATTATTCTGGGATTCTGTTTGCCTCCCTTCTACGAATCATAAAGGTTACCATGCCACCCATGATTCCCAACTCTCCAACAGTTAAAATCCATGTCTTTGATACAAAGGCACATTCTTGGGATTGCTCTTCTCCAGATAATGATAATCATCAACTACTGCACCGTTTGACGAGTCTACTCTGTCTAATGTGTATTTCATCAACATTGAACCAATGCCCTGGCCTCTCAATGCCAACAATGTTCCAATCATGCTCAAATGCTTACGATGCTTGCCAAGCTTGCCATGTTCCTTTTCATATTCTGAAATGAATTTGCTACCCTTGGTTATTGTATCCATACACGATAATATATTTACTATGTCCGATCCTTTAGGTCGCGCCCTTGACAAATAAAGATATATAGAAAATTCCTTGGTTTCTTCCCATAAGCATGCACTTTCCAACACCTTTGTATTGTCATCCACCAAGACATCAGCAGAACAACTCCCTGAAAAGTTATTATTAGTCGACCCCTCGGGTGCGCCTGCTGATGAGTCAGTTTTCCTTGTTTTTTCCCTTCTTGAGGAACTAGTAAAGACCGTGATCTCACCGAAAATCTTCCAAACGACATTATCGCATCCATTACTTCAGCATGTCACACGGGTTCGACGAGCAAAGTTCACCCCATCGCGCAAGACGGAAGTCGGCTGCTGCAGCTCAACGGAAAATTCGAGATCATCGCCTCGCGTATGCCCAGCTTTCCATCCCATCATTGCGAGTACTGATGGCCTCCTGCAGGACGATTCTTTGCGCTTTCTCTGGGTCTTGGCAGAAAGGGCGGCGAACCGTGAAAGAAACTACAGCGTTGGATGGTGTCTCGGCATCTCAAGATGAACTTTTCTCATCTTAAAAATTTAGCACACCAGAAGCCGAGGCGGGTCCTCCCGCTCCTCCTCCCTCTCGCTCTCGCTCTCCTCCTCGATCTCCCTGCTCCCTCTCCCTCTCTC